GTTGATGATGGCGGTGGCCTCTACAAGTGCATTGGTGCGTTTTAAAACTTACTATTCGAAAAATACTGATAAAAGTGAGCATTCGGCTGACTGTAAAAAAGTTATATATCTCGAGAGTTGGGCTCCGTTTTCTGGAGGATGAGGGAATGTAGTTTTGGTCGAGAAACGAATTTTTCTGCGAACAAGAGGTCTGCGCTTGAGGATAAGTAATAAATATTGTTTTCTGAATTTTCAGTATTTCGTGTTATCTTATGATTTTCTGTCTTTTTGTTTCTTCACTTCTCTTTAGATTTTATTTTTCTGTTGAAATCTTTTCCAGTGTTTTGGGTTTGTGCTCGAATATTCCAGTTTTTCAGGTGTTGATCATCTTCTGCGACTTGTTGATTGTCTTCTTGACTCGCATATTCTTGCTCAAAAATTCAACGGGAATAATGCTCAACGTACACTGCTTTGGAAAGCTGGTTTTAAAGGTTCCACTATCAATATTTTTTCAAGATTAATTTAGAATCATGATAACCGCCGGCTAATGCAACTTTGAAAGAAGCGATTATGAAATATTTTCCAAATACGTCAAAGGCGTAAAGGTGTATCAAAGTTGAAAAGGTAGCTGTTGGAGATGATTAGTGATATTAGCATTGTTTTGGATTCCAGAACCATTTTCACTCTTTTACGGCTTTCGAAATTAGTCCCTTTTTTACGCTGATTTTCATTTCAAGGACAAAGACACACTAGATGAGGATTCACCATTAGCTTATTGCCCTCTCTGTGTTGTTGATTTCGATTAATGCTCCCCTTCGTTTTTGTAATTCTCCTTTTCAGGACGAAGTAAACCAAATCTTTTAAGACAGGAAACGCATAGCGTCCGAACAGCGCTAAATATCTTGTACAGATTGTACAGCGATGTTGGAAGAACTACAGCGAAACAGAAAGTCACTGTTAAAAAGAAGTTACTAAAGTATGTATAAAAAAAGATTTTAAAAAATTCTGGTTGGCCCAGTCTCTAGTAGAACTTCAGATTTTCAGAAAATTTAAAAACATTTGTAGGGATGGTCAAAAAATTTTGGAAAGGATGGTTTCCTAATCGAGAAATACGGTTTATTACGCCTCTGTTGTAAAGTAGATTTCACCTGCTGTTGCACTTGATTTGTCTTCAGTT